GTGCATTCCTTTCCTCCTCCTCTATTTCTTTCCACATTTCATTGCCCCAACTTAAAAAAATCCCCTCCTAAAAATCCCTATTTGGTGAGGGTTGGTTACCAAAGGGAAGTCACAATGCAGTCTGTTTATTTGGCTTTTTCTTACTTAATCATGATGGATTGCTTTTACTGATAGCAATAGCAGGAAAAATAAAAAAAAGATAAAAAGAAAAATGCTTGAAGGAATCTCAAACCAAAGAGAAGGACTGGACCGTAGCAATAGCAGGAAAAATTCTGGGCTTAGAACATTGTGCTGGTTCTGGCTGGGGCAGTGTTAATTTTGTGAATTTTGTAAGAGTGCTGAATACATTCCTTGGGTTTTTTTATGCTTTGCTTGTGTGTATAGCTTTTGCTTTACCTATTAAACTGTCTTTATCTCAACCCATGAGTTTTCTCACTTTTGTTCTTCTGATTCTCTCCCCCATCCCACCAGGAGTGAGCTGCTGGGTGGGACTTAGTGGTCAGCTGGGGTTCAACCCCAACAAACATCCTATTTCATGTGTCCACCACTTCATGGCATTCCTTAGTTGAGATTTCACAGTACTAGTATAAAAGCAGTTTTGAAATACCTCAGGAGCAAGTAGCTGAAGAAGAAAGCAGCTCAGGGATGTCCTGTGAGAAGCACTAGAAAGAATAAGCATGTTCTGTCTAGAGAAAAGGCAAATGCTAAAGGATATTGCCAAGTTATGCTGGTGTTACTCAAGCCAGTTTCAAAAATGCTTTTTTGAGCTGTATTAGTCTGTGTTGTCCTTCAGAAGAGACACGTTCATCTACAGCCCATAGAACACTGCAACTCCAAATCTGAAAACCCCTGAAACCTTCAATTTTAGAGCTTTGTCTAAACAGCTGAAACAATTTCATCTTGAAAACAGGATAAAAATTAATGAAGTGTGCTGAATCTTTTTACAAGGTAGAAAAAAAATCAGAACAAATCTTTGAGAAGACATGGCACCTAAACCCCTCCTTTCTGCACATAAAGGCAAGAAGATGAATTAATTCCAAGAGAACAGAAGCAGAATAAAAGAGGTGGTTGAAAATGAAAACAGGCTAAGGAAACTGCAAAGACAAAAGACCCTTGTTTAAATTCCTCAGATCCAATAATAAGTAGTGCATGACAGTTTGTCAATAATTGTGAGAAACTGGCTCAGAGGAGGAGTTCTGTGAGGACTTCTGACATGTCCACAAATGAGATAACAGACAAATAATTTCCTATTTTTCATACATTTCAAAGGGCTTCCACATCAAACAGGCAGGTACTCTGCAGGCAGTAATTTTATCATCAATTAACTGTTCTATTCCAGTAATTCATTCAGCTCAGACTCCACACCAAGCCTTTAAGTTCCTTTTAGCATAGAGAGAGATTTCTCAGCTCAGTGCCCTGCAGGAGACTCCTGCTGATTGCTCTCCAACCACAGCTCTGTGTTATCAGACACTTGGAGGGAAAGGGAACAGGAAACTCAGGACAACAAGAGGAACTCCAACCTGCTCCTCTCCATCCAGCTGCACACCTACCACACCAACAAACCCACCCACCCAAACTCCTCTCCAGACTGCAGAGCTTGGAGCACACCAACTGCTCAATGGCACTTAATTAAAACTGTGTGCTTGGGTACAATCTTTAAATCACTTTTGTAATTAGGAAGTGCACTCTGGCCCAGGTCATTAGCTGCACAACATCAGCAGGAGACCAAACCAGCTTTGAGTCTGAGTGCACTAGAGATTAGTCTCGTTAGTCAGCAACAGTCTCTCAATGAGAACAAAAATTCCTCCTAAAAACCTGCACCTAGCTGAGGAAAGGGGTCCAGGAATTAGTCCTCAGTCCTGAACAGCACATGGAAGGCAGGATTAGTCTAATTACATTGCTGTTGCTGTTTTTCTGGCAAGCTGTTTAACAAAATACATAGAGATGATAAAAGAATTGACTCTCACTGCTGTGACAGAAAGTAATTAAAATTTGTTTGATGGAACAAAAGACAAATCAGGGCTAAAGGAAAAATCAACATAATTTTCAGGGGTTTTTGACAGCTGGAGAGAGTGAGTATTAAAATGAATTAAAAGCAATTATCCTAGTTACTTTTTTCTCTTGATTCTGAAAATGACATGGAGATGATTAACTTCAGGACAAGATACAGCATCAGTTTGAAGCAAACTGTTTTTTTTCCTAGCATGTACTGAACAACTCACAGATTTGCATCATCAACAAGTAGCTGAAGGTGATGAAGAAGCTGAAAAGCAGATGAAGACTGACAGGAGTGAGAGAAATGCCCTGGCTTTCCAGGCTGGCAAGAGACTCATCTGAAATGGATTAAATAGACTTTTTAAAATAAAAAATTAAAAAGTCCCTTCACTGGTTTGGAGATAGTGCACCAGCAAGTCTTTCACTTTAGTTGGCACCAGTTAGCACATCCTGGAGCCTGATTTTGAGCATTGACATCTCATAATGACTTCAAATAATAGTTAGGACTCCAGCACTCCTGAGAATCTGACTGTACAAGAGACACACAGAGAGCTGCCTCTTCCACCAGAGCAACAGCTTCCACAACAAAGCAGTCACAGCTACCTGAGTCATTGCACTGCTGCCCAAAAAGAGATGGTTAGAGCCTCATCCTTGAAATAGTCCCAGTCTTTCTAGCTGCTCCAATTTTCTCTTCTTGATCCCCATGCTCCTCTCTCTCATTATGAAGAACAACAGTCAAAGGTATCTTCTCTAGTGAAAAGATTTAACAGATTAATACACAGGAAGCAAAATGAAATTATCTCAGGGTACTTGCAGGGTTAAATTCAAGCTATAGAACTAGACTTGACAGCTTAAACCAAAGTGAAATTCACCTAACACAGTGTATTTAACAGACATGGGGTTCAGCCCAAGGAACTTCACTTGAGGTGACAGAGACCCCCAAGTGCAGACCAGCAGACACAGCAAGAACATGTTCCAAAGACAGAGAACTTGAGGGCATTGTACTTTTAGCCTAAAACTCATCTTAAAGACAAGTGACAGAAGTGTGCAGAGACAAATCACATCTTTTGTCACAAGCTTTTATACTCTCTACATCTACACAGCACTGACAGTAGCAGTAAAAACACTACACAGTATTTTTACCTACTTATCCTAAGAAATGAAAATCTGAACTGCATAGGTAGATTTCTGGGTATGTCATAAAAAGAAGGAGAAAAAGGAAAATAAAAAGTTCTCTCATATTCTAAGCACAGGCACAGCCCTGACTGACAAAGGCTTTTTCTTCATCTTACTATCTTTTAACAGAAATCCCCTGAGGAGCTGTGTCCCAACTCATTACTGACTTCCATGCATGAATTTAGAACCAGATTCAGGTGGCTCAGTTGAAAACATTTCTACTTTTGATATTAAGTCTCAATGGCAACTGAACAGAAGGGAAAAATCAGATTTTAGGCTCCATTTCAAGATTATGATTTAATTGAGGACTTTTTTTTTCCCCCCCAAATATTAGGGGAAGAATTAGAACGTTATAAAACAAGACACATGAAAATATTTCTATTCCATATTCAGCTTTATATGTGAAATAATGTCTATAGAGATAGTGGTTATAAAAAGAGGTGTTAATGGGAAATGGGTTCACAATGATTAACAAGCTGTCAAATGACCACATTACCTTTTAAAAAACGGGTTATTTTATCCCTCAAGCAAAGAATGCAGCAAAATATTTGGACATAGAAAGTTTCAAAGAGTGATGGAAATGACCACATTTTCTCCAGACTGCAGCACAGCCTGGAGCCTGGTCCTGAAGCTCCCTGCACATGGTGCTGTGCTGCTCAGACACACCAAAGGATCACCAAAGGGGAAGCTTCTTAACTGAATGGCACAGCTTTCTAAAAAGATATCTCCCAGATGCAAAAGACAGATTATAGGAGAAAGGGGACTGTAAAAATATTGAGTCTTATCTGTAGCCTATGCACAGGTCACAAAATTTTATTAGACTTCAACCTGGGTATGAATCCTCCAAAGGAGGAGACTAAAAAACTTGGAGCCAAGCTTTGTTTTCACATCAGTAGACACAGCAAAAGCAAAACATGCAGCCAGAGCCAGAGAGAAGGAACATTATGCACAGCTCTCCTCTATTTCTGCCAGGAACAAGAGTAAGTTGTGTTGATAAAACATGATCTGCATATGAAAGATGGGACAATGCAGAAGGAGGAAGCACTGGTTCAGTCAAGGCATTGCACACCCACCAGCATTAAGGTCCAAGGGGAGAGTGTTCACTGAGACATTTTTGGTGGAGAAGATGCACCAGGTCATGACTGTGAGAAGGATGAAAAGCCAAACAAGTAAAATATGAAGCTAAAGGATGCTGAAAAGTTGGGTGAAAGTGCTGCAGTCCAATAAAACACCAAACCAAAAGCATGGAGAGAGATGAGATACAGATGCAGATCATCCAGCAGGATCCAAGCCAGGGAAAAGCACTGAACTGAAACAATTCAGCAAGTCAACAGAAAAGAGAATTTCTGCCAAACAAAACTGCAGGATTCCAGGGTATCTGATATTCTCACTGACACTGGGTTGTTTCCACAGGACTACCACAAGGAAACTAAAGAGCCTTGTGCTGAGAAACCTTTATACATCAGTTGTTGGCAGATGAGAAAAAATAAGCACCTCATAACCCTGTATGTAGCAAAAGGAAGATTAGAAATGCTGAAAAATCTTCATGTACAAAACCCATCCATTGCAGGCAAGTCAGGGGGAGTCAGAGACTAGCAAGGGGCATCACTACACTGCTTTAACTGCACTATCTCAAAAAATAAAGCTGTATTATCATGCTTGTCCAAGAGTGGCCACGCTTAGGGGTTGTCAGGAACCTGCTGGTCCCTCAGAGCTGGCTCTACAACTACCAACATGCTGCTTTGGCAAAGGGTATTGAAAGATTTTCTGCTGTAAGGCCAAGAACTACAGGATAGATAGTTTTGCTGAGTGTTTCTAAGCTGCTTTACCTCAAACATCTCTTGCTCTGTCCGTCGATGCTCGTTCAGGAGCTGCTCCAGGTAGGTCAGGTTACGGAATTTTTCCAGATAACTGCTGTATTGTTTCTGCAGTTGCTCCTCAATCTTCTCATACTCATCCATAAAAGCAGGACTGGAGAGAACAAAGTATTCAAAATATCAATCTCTAGAGGCAGAATTCCAAAATAAGCATTTTGGGGTTTGCAGGTCCCTTTCCATGCCTCCTAAATCAATATAAAAGGACCTTTTGTTTTTAAGGTTTCACGCTGCTTCAGAGATGAAAAAAAATGAGACAAAAACCCCTCATTAAACTATCCTGCAAGAATGACATGAAGTGGAGGAAAGTTTGTTGTGTACCCACAGCCATCTCCTCTCCAACAGACAGAGAAGCAGCATTTTGGGCTCTTTAGCAGGCAAATCTATTAATTATCCTGCTGTTCCATGACTCCAAAAACCCAGCTTGAAGCAGAGCTGGTAAATCACCTTCTTATTTGGAAACTTTTTGCTATAAGACTGTGCTGTGCCATTGCAAGTGTAACCACACTTGACACCAGGTCACCACTCATTTTTCTAATATTCTTCTTTTTCTTAATACTAGGTCAAAACCAGACCATGACCTTGTAGATTGTACAAACCCCCAGCTTAATTAAGGGCAAGAAACCAGCTCAAACTGTGAATGTGAACATCCTGACTTCATGGCAGGCTGTACCATTGCCTAGAGGAACTGATCCTGATAACAAGGGATGCACCAAGAACTTTTTTCATTGGTGGCTACAAATTCTAGAAGCCTCTGGGAACAAAGGGAACGTTTGCACCCCTTGCCATTTTCAGGAGAACTACCTGACACAATTTCTTGAATGAGAAAGGAAAAGACAACACCTCCCAGGTGACTATTTTGTGCAGCAATTCAGCAACTCCAATAAATTACATGCTGGCTGCTTCCAACAGCTCTGAAATTCTGATTGGAAAAAGAAATGAACAACTCCAATCCAGACTGAGAATTTCTAGAGGAGAGAATCTCTCTCTTCCACAGGCCATCAGTCTCTCTGCAGACCTGACTCCTCCCTGCTCTAAGCATTACCAAGGCACAGGCCCATCATTTATGCTAAAACTCCTTCAAGCAGTAGATAATCAGCTCATAATCTTCACCGAACACTCTGTAGGGTCTGGAGCCTCTTCTGGCTTCTTTCCAGTTCCAATTTTCGTTTTTCAATCTTGGCTTCCAAACTGGCTTCATCCAAAGCCACATTATTCAACATGTCTTTAGTCTTTTGGACTTGTTCCTGAAAGAGGAGAATGGTGAACCATGGCTTGCACTGCAAGGATCATTCAGATGCTGAACATTCTTTTCTATAATCTTGCATCTCCTGGTATCAAATAAAATCACAACAAGGAGCTAGACCATCAAGTGGCTGGGTAATGAAAATGAAAAAGTTCTTTGTGCCCAGGAAAGTGAACTAATTGAATATTTACAAATTTAAAATACTCATTTTTTCCCCCCCCCAGGCATTCTTAAAGAAGAAAATAGGAAAAAAAAAAAAAGAAGAAAAACCCCACAGCTTGCCCTGGGCTTTATTTTTTAATTCTCACTGAAAAAGGAGTAAAAAAAAAACCAGGAGGAAGCCTCCTCAAAAATACCTGACAGGATACACAAGGACATCTTTTGACATGTAAGTATCTGAATAAAAGCAGATGAGCAACACATTTATTTCTTGGTACTATTTTAGGGAATTTTAGGTTTCCATCTTTTTTCCCCCTCCCCTCTTCAGAGTAAAGGTCACTTTTATGAAGAAGTTAACTCTATCCAAATATCCCCATCCTCTCCCAAGCCTTGCTTTCTCCATCTTCTCAAAATCTGGGAAGCACCTTGAATGTTACAGTAACCAGGAGGGGGAAATGGGAATATTCCAGCTTATTAAAATGAGCTGAGCACATTCAGGGTGCTCATGCTCAGGAAACTATGAGCATCTTTTGAGTTGGAGAGACAGAAGACCTCACAGCTGCTGAAATTCCAGCAGTACCTGTTAGGTGCTGCTCAGGTCTAATAGGTCATTTCACTACCTGGCCCAGAACCAAGGGAGCTGAGGTAAATGTAATTGCTATTTCCCCAAAAGCCAACTGCTCTGCCATGCTGCTGTTGGTTTATCAGCACTGCTGCATGTAGCACAATGCCCATGAACAACCTTTACAGCTCCTACAGGCTGTGCAGGAGCAGAAACATATGGAAAGATCACCTGGAGCAACTAGTGATGATGGTTTGGCTGCTGAAATCTGGAACTTGCTCCTTCTCATGATACAGTTGGACTGGATACAGTTTGCAGTTAAATAATTAACAGTAATGGCTAGGATTTAATTAACTGCCATGCTTGCACAGGGGCTGAGAGTGCAGTTAATGGTTCAGAAATGCAGGAACCCAAGAACAGAGCAAGGACAACCCTGAGTTACCCAACACAGCCCCTGCAGCCCCAACTCTGCAAAGCTGACTTGGCTTAGACAAAGTAGGTGGGATGTAGATTTCTGTGCCAATTTAGGTAATTTTTATCCCTCTTGTAGAGCTTCTGGGGCTACTGCTGAGCTCCTACAGAGGCAGGGAATATGACTAAAAGGTGTCTTCAGGAAACATGACTAAAATGTGTCTTCAGGAAACATGACTAAAATGTGTCTTCAGGAAACAGAGAGGCCAAGTGCAGTTCTTTGATGCATCAGTTGGAGGAATGTTTCTGCACACTGACCCAACAGAGCTGCAGTGTGACAGTGAGAGCAGAGTGGGTCTCAACATGTCCTCAGAGGTGCTGCTGCTAGCCTGGGTTCCCCCTCCTGCTGCAGGCTGTGATTTCTCACTGCCAGCTCTCAACCTCCCTCACTCTGCCAGGAAAATACCAGCTTCAGTTCACCTGCTGGCTCACTATGAACTCAACAGGTTGCCCAAACAGGCTGGGAGGATCATCAGTAGGCATGGCCATGGCACAAGGAGTCACCAGACCCATCGCTGCCTCGATGGACTTCTGTTCACACAGCTGATGCTACCTAAAGACCCAAGTCTGTGGTGACCATTCACTGGAGTTCAACATTAGCTGTGGACTAACCAGGTGCAGTGGTGGCCCAGGCAGCACCAGGGGATGTGTGATCTGGCACTCCCAACCCTAGGCTGCTGCTGAAAAAAACCCCTGTGTTCTTCTTGCAGGAGAGGAATGAGAATTTTTGCAATTAAATAAATATCCTTTTGCTTACCAGAACAGAGGCAATGGCAGCTTTCACCACCTTCTCAGCCTCATTTATCTCCAAAGGTCTGGCAATAGATTCTGTTCTTGCTTCCTATGAAACAAAATTACACCAATATATTTAAATGCTACACAAAGGGACTAATAAATGCAGAACACGGGGTGGTCAAGCCACAATGACATGAAGGGCATAATAAATGGAGCAGGATTTAATGTTTATTCACCAAGGTTCAGATGATTCAAAGAACAGGAGATGATGAAAAAAAATCAGTTAAGTGAGGCTGAGATTAATACTGTGAAATTAAAACATCTTTTCAAAAGCAGGTAAGTGCTACTGTCTGAACTGCAAGTACTCTTGAAAGCAGATTTTTGGAAAATGGATTGGTTATTACATGTTGAGCAAGGTATGCTACACAGCACAGAAGATTTCATCATCTTCACATCATGACCCATGAAAAGAGTAGTGTAGGTAGATCACAAACCCATCTAACTCTGCCAGGCAGCAGGTGCCTCCTATGCCCATAGGAAAACCAGATGATCCAGATGTATGGGCTCCTCTGATTCTGACAACCAAGGGGTTCAGAGTCCTCAAAAAAAGCCAGTTATCCTTGTTTAGATCCCAAAGGATGAAAAAAACCTCTTCCACTCTTCAGCAGCTTTGGGGACAGATGGGCTTAGGGGTATTCTGGATGCCACCTTACAACACTGACCTGGTCATTGCATGAAAACATTGTATTCCTTCTTTCCTGTGAGAGGAGGGAGATGTTTTGTAGCTCAATGTCCTCAGAATCATCTTACGTTGGCAAACCACTTGGTAGCAGGTGGGTAAAGCTGGAAATAGCATCTCTCTAGAGAACATCTGACTAAGAATCTCAAAATGCTTTGCAGACATTGCAACAGGCTGTACCCAGCCCAGGAGAAGACAAAGGAGTCGCATCTGCTTCCAGAATTCAAGTTCCCATGGCAGACACTCCATGTTGCATAGGCAAGTACTCACACAGGTAGCCTGGCTCCCTCCCCACCAACTCCAGTGGCACTGTGAACCCAACCAGGGAGCTCACCCAGCCAGAAAAAGCAGATTTTTGTGCTGAGCTTATTCCTGAAGGAGCCCCGCTACATGCTGCACAAAGGCTTTTTCTCCTGGCACAAGGAAAGGAGGAGAAGAAATATTATGTTTGGGATGGTGACAGGAGCTACATCTGTTGGTGGCTGTGACAGCTTGTGCTACCTGAAGTGCTTGTGAACGTTCCCCTGTCCACACAAAACCACAAGCTCCAAGCAGCAGGAAGTTAATTTGGATGAAAATACGATACCAAGAGTCTGCACAATACAGATTCCTGAATAACTCCACAGGTAGAGGCTTTTGGAGGGAGACTGGACAAGAATAATGCAGCTCAGTAGCTATTCTGAGAACATGATGCATTTAACAAGCTCAACACAAAGGCTATTTATTGGTGAGGACTTGGCCTGAGCTGGAATGGCAGCTGGGATCAGCCTGGTGGAGACACTGCCCTGCTAACTGGGCTCAGTTCTGCTGATGGCAACAGTGAGATCTCTGCCACAGAGCAAACAGATTTCAAACAAAACAGTTTATCACTCAGCAGGAGGAAGGAAATAATTTCCTTCCCACCTTTGGAAGAGATAAAGGAAACAGCAAGGACCTTAGTTATTAATTACTAACAACTCCCTTACCAATTTCCTTCCAGTAGCCTGGTAGAACCCCTACAGAACATGCACAAGTCACTGCAGTGGGTCAGGTCAGGGTAACTGAGAGGTTTTCAAAGGGTAGATCTTCAGAAGTATATCTAAATTGCAATAATTTATACAAGTTTGATGTCTTTTTTTCTACCTTCCCTCTACTCGTGGAATTTTCACATACAGCCCACGTTCTTCATGCAGACATGCACACAGATGTCCAGGAGAAGCATCAGTCCTACAGTCACACCTGCTTGGAACAAGGTGTCAGGTCAGTGAAGAGTGGTGTAAGAGCAGAAATTTGTATTTTCAGGCTGTTGAACCAGGGCTAAACTGGAAAAGGAGAGCTCAGGGCAATCAACTGCCTCCCATCTCAACAAACTCAGAGGAGAATGCTAGTGGACCGTTGCAGCTTTCATTACCATGGACCATGACATGAACATATAATGGAAATATGTTTGAAAAAGAAATATATGTTGGAGGTATCAAAGCTGTTGAGAAATTTTTAATGGATGTTTGTCACAGCTTCCCTGGGTATCTGTCACTGGGCTGTTCCTTGTTATGAAAACTCTCAAAGAGAAAACTTAATTTTAATCTCTCTTTTTGGGAAAGCCCCTGCAACTGGATATATAAAAGAGGATTAAAAGCAAGGCAGATCACATTAGAAAAACAAATACCCCACAAAGATTAGGGAAAAAACCAATTTTATATACCAGAGTGGGTCAATTTTAATTTGCTAATGGGTTAACAGTGTTTAAGACAATGGATTTAACAAAATAACTTTGAGTATCTCTGACTCCCCAACACGAGCAACTAAAGCACATCTTTCCACCAGCTCAACTCATCCTCTCTAATATTTCTTTCCCAGTATAAAATATCCAGCTACACAACAACTGAGATTTTTAAAACCTGGCTTTGCACAAAGGCTTTTCAGCTCATGCTTAAATCTGTGGATACAAACAGGCTGCTTACTTGAAGGCAAACCAAATTTTTCTGAATCTGGCCAAATAGCAGGTATTACCTTGCCACTGGCTGCATTCATAATTCCTTCTGCTCAAAAAGAGTGCAAATGGAACTGAGCTGAAAAATAGGTTGATTTTCTTTTAAGGTAATGTACTCTTTGCAATGAGGTGTTCTAATCAGAATACACATTATAATACACAACAGGTTTTCCTTTAAGTTAACCATTGAAAATAAAGTTCTCAGGAGAGATGAAAAATATAGAAAAAAAATTATCAAGGATAGGAGGTAAGAAGCAGAACAATTTAGGTCTATGCTTGGTAATTACAACTTGAGAAAACAAACATATGCCAAAGCAGAGAGGTATTAAATGAACAAGCTGATTGTTTACCTGCTTCCTGTTCAAAGTGTCCAAGAGCTCCCTGGCTATAGTTTTACATGATAAATACTAATTAAAAATCAAGGAAGGCAAGTGTAAAATTATTTTTGATGAACTAAAGCTGACAATTATTAAAGAAAACACATGAAGGCACACAGGGGACACCCTTTGCTGGCATCATTTATCCCCCCTGCTTGGAATATTTGGTGCTGCATGGAAGGGCTGAAACTTCTTCACGTTTGGAGTCTCACTTTGGACAAGGCCAGTTGGAAGCACGAACAAATTAGTTGGCTGGTTTAGACTTCAAAACTATGTTTTCTTCAGAAATGAGAATTTCATTACAAAGCAAGAAAGATTTCCAATCAGAAACTAGCTGAATGCTCAGTCGAGCAGAACAGAGCACAGCCTGACAGGACCTTCTCCACAGGACATGGGAAGTTAACAGCAAAGCTAGTTCTGCCCAAATTGCCCCAGTTTTAGCATCAAAAGCAAAGATTAAAAGTGGAGATAGAGGAAAACTGTACTGTAGTCAGTCCAGGAACTAATACTGGTCTCAAAGCCTTCAAAGCTCCATCTAAAGCATTTACTCGTCTCCAATCCACATCCCCGCTGAGTGACGGTCCCTTGGGTCCAACACCAGAAGGTTCTAACCATGAGAAGCCTGACACTGTGTCCACAAGAATCAGACCAGCAGCCAACCTTCTGGAGGAGGCAACGAGCTGCAGCTCTGGCCATTTGCTGCAGCAACCACCTTCTGGTGGAGAAGTCACCCTGGCACAGGACTGCAAATCCCCGTCGCTCTCACAACACACAGTCCAGTGTCACAGAACAGCTTCTTTCTGCCAAAACAGAACAAAGCAACTGATGCACCCAACCAGGAGTTCTACCTTGCTCATCCAAGCAGCAGCCTGGAGGATACCAGCAGCTTCACTGCCCAACTTCCAGCTAACAGAAAGGACTGGCTGGCACGGAAAACGCCGAAAAGCAGCACAGGATTTGCCTTTCCTGTCACTGAAGAGCTGTTCCACAAAGGTCTGCAGCCTTAGGCTTCCTGGATTATCTCTGTGCTGAAGAAAGGCTGAGAGTCCCAGGGCTCTTTAGCCTGGAGAAGAAAAGACTAAGAGGGGATCTGATCAGTGGGTGAGGGGCAAGAGGCTGGGGCCAGACTCTGGTCAGTGGTGCCCAGGGACAGGCCAAGGGGCAACAGGCACCAACTGGAACCCAGGAGGTGCCACCTGAGCAGGAGGAGAAACTTCTTTGGGGTGAGGGTGCAGAGCCTGGAGCAGCTGCCCAGAGAGGCTGTGGAGTCTCCTGCTCTGGAGAGATCCCAAACCCTCCTGGCTGTGACCCTGGGCACCCTGCTGGGGGTGAGCTGCTGGAGCAGGGGGGTTGGAGGAGATGATCCCCAGAGGTCCCTTCCAACTCCCATCACTCTGTGATTCTGTGATCACACAGATCTCTCTGCCCCTCCAGGATCATCAGGGAATACCCATCTTATATTGAACATACAGCCCCTTCTTAGGCTATGTACCCAGTGAACCTTTCCCAGCTGTAAGTGGAGTGGCTGTTGTATTCTAGCAACAGAAATACTGGGTGGCTCTCTAAAAGACATTTAAAAATCCCTAGAAATAGCTACAATCATTGTCCTTATATTGAAGCCAGAAGGTTTTCCTCTTACATAACTAAAATTTTGACATGGCTGTACTTTGTGTCTCATGAAGGAAGGTTAGGAATAATGGATGACTGAAACCCCACCAGATATTCAGTAGACAGTGCTTCTGATTTAGCCCAATTAAGTGGAACTTCTTGCAGACTCATACAGGCTTTGACAAATGCCAAGACACACAAAAGAAAGTTCAAATACAATTTTCCTCCCTGTCAAATGAGAATGCTTTTTCAGAAGTCTAGAACTGAGCTACAAGAATTCAGATCTTCCAGCTGGCTGACAAAATTATCAATGCAATGACACCAATGGTCCCCAAATTTCAAGGAGAAATGTGCCACCCATCAGCCTATAGCTAAATACTCCTGGGCAGCCCATCACAAAGTCATTTCTGACACAAAACACACCCACAAATGTTGTATCATGTAGCATACACCCATGGTTGTGGTTAAAGCAATCTAAAATAAGACAGCACTGATTCAATTGTATCCTACAGTGGCTAGGTTTGATTTGGACTTCTCACTTTGCAGTAAGCCCCTTTTCCTCAAAGCTGGGAGCTCAGGTTTTGGTTACAAGCAGGACAATCAAAGCAAACCAGGCAATTCTCCAGAGTTCTGGCAATTTCCAGTGACGTACTTCCACCCGAAAGGTGTGTGGTCACTCTGTAACCAAAGCACAGGAACCCAGAGAAATTAGTTTATCAGCCTCCTCCAGGCAGCACCCAGAACTAACATTTGGCAGATGGAAAAGGTTTCCAATGTTACAAATAAAATAATAGTTTGCAGTTGGCTTTGACAAGGTGCTGAACAACCCCTCCAGTCAGATCTACCTCTCTGCAGAGTAGGTGGCAAGCTCCAAACAGCCACGTGAGCAGGGAGAGGCAGGGGAAGGAAAGGGCTCATCAAAAACCTGCCAATAAAGAGATCCCAGTTAAATGCCCTTAGTGGGAATGCTTTTTGTTGTAACCAACACCTTCTGAGGTCCACAGCCAGATCTAAACACCTTTGGCTCTCCTCAGAGTTTAATCCAAGTGTCTCACAAAGTCAGTGAAGAGATTTCTCAGTGATTTCTGTCAGGTTTAGAAGCAGCTTATCCTGTGTGTGTAACAAGCACACTGTGAGCAATCCCCTGTACTTACTTAGACATTCACCCTCCACAGACTGGGAAACACTTTATCTGGCTGTTAAAAGCTTTCATCTCCACAATTACAGAAAATTACTTTATTTACACAAGAGGATAGGCAGGGAATAAACTGTTTGTTCAAGGTCACAGAGTAAGTGTCAAGAAGAGCATCAGAAAACAGACCTACTGCAGTGCCTGTCTACAGCACAGGGTAAGGACACTAAAAAAAAAGGATTATTTTCATCCTCCTTCAGTTTTATATGGCTTAGGACTAATTAAGAGGTAAATAAAATGAAAACAATCTTGAGGAGGCCAGAAATCTTTATGCCTGCCACCAGTACAGAGGTAGTTTAACTTGGGAATTTTTTTGCTTCATGGTCTTACTGTGTCAGATAATTCAGTGAGTCTAAGCAAGGCTTGACAGGCTCCTGCTAACATGTCCACAGGACCTCTGGCAGATGCAGAGCAGCAAGCACTCCAAGCCAGGCAGCTCTGCTGAGCTGTCATAAAGAGCTGTGAATTTTCCCTTTTGGATTTCAGATGTCTGGTAACCCAGGAGCATCCTCCAACTGATCACAATTTGTTCCATGACTCAAAGCAATAAAATTTCACTCATGTTTTAGGCTTTTCTACATTGTTTCCATACAAATTAAGTGCAAAAACAACTCCAATAAAGAGAGTAAAGGCTGTGAGACAAACTAGAGTCAGCATTTCTAAAGGAAATAATGAGGTTTACTTCATTTTTTTTTTTTCCCCAGTGATCTTTCCCCAAAAGCTGCTCAGACTATGAGAACAGAGTCAACCTGTTAGTACCAAGTGCTGGCATTTCTTTTACAGTTCCTGGAAAATGAAGCAATCTTCACTTAGGAGTAAAACAAGAGATATCATCAGTCTGTTTAAGCCCAGGTAGGAAGATGCTTCATTTGAGTATTTGGAAATGGATGGATTGGGGGGAAAAAAAAGAAAAAAGGTTCAGGGAACATAGAACTAGAACATTTTCAGATTCACTAAAAGAGCATCACAGCTCTCATTGCATTTTAGATTATGCAACAGGTTTCAGGATAAAAATGTTATGAAAAATAAATCATACTGCTCTGCCACTCCCCTTGAACAGCACAATCCCTCTGCCACTGCCACATGAAAGGAAAACAAGCCATGGAAATCAATGATCTCCCCATTGGAAAATAATAAAAGTAACCTTAGATTAATGGCAACTAATTTGATAGCTACAGACATAGCTCTAATTCCCCCCACCTAGCCAGAATTAACTGCACTTCCACTCTGCCTTTCACTTGAAGTATGAAATTTTCCTTCCAGGTGGGCAGAGTTGGGTGCTTGTAATTCAAAAGAGGAAATCTTGCCAAATTCTACTGAACAACTGGTCACTGCAGCCTCATGGCTTTTACCCTGTTAGCAAAGCAAAATTAGCAAATTTAGGAGAGCAAATTTTCCCATTTGCTTTGCTCAAACTTGTCACACGTTTATGTATCAAACAAGCCAAAAATGGGTCCTTCAGGTTTAACAAATGACTGAAGAAGGCTGGAACCAGTCACAAACAAGGAACAGAGCATGAAAGTCTCTTCTGCTGCTCTCTCTAAGTTCTCACTGTGCTGTCATTGTGTCACCTTGTGCTTTTAGGACATCATCTCAGAGCTAAAGAGACAGAAGCAAAGGGCATCTCTTCAGAGGCAGCATTTCTTAAGGACAAGAAGTTCAATCTGCCAAATCTGTTGTGAACTAGTTAGCCCTGTTTTGTGACATCACATCACAAGAACCATGCACTCATTAAGTATACTCACTGTCCTTTTAGAAACTGCACCTTTAAAGTCTTCCATTCCAGATCTCTTAGTGGGCCCACTGAGAAATTGCTGCACTGAAACACTGACCTCCTGATTTTTCATGTCATGCTTTCAGCACTCTGCACGTGGGCAAGTCCCTTTTCCAGGGCACAGTTCTAAAGTCAGTTGAACTCTTAAAAGCCTTGATTCAAAATGATTAAAAGCCATGCCCAATTTCAAACCAAAGTTTGAGTATTCTCACAAGAAGTTGCTTTAAGCTGACTTTTTACTGGAGTTCTTAGGAGTGCTGTGCAGAGAAAAAAGGGTTTAATGCTCCAAAGTTAATATGAACATGTTAGGTAGCATTGAAATAGTGAAAACAATTTCAAAGCCAAGCAATTGAGCAAAGAAAGCAAGATGAGCAGTGACTGATTAACAAGCCTGTGACATCCATGTCTGTGATATTAACCCAGCTCATCACTCCTCTTGGCTTTTTGAAGTATTAATGCCTTTCACACACTGCTGTCTTGGGTATCTAGTAGAAGAGGGAGAGTTCCACAGGTAAAATCTTCCCTGTGTATCACCCACCCTTTGAAACACTTGCACTCCATCAAACAAGGAGCTGGGAGCATTAATCATCAAGGCACACAGCCCATTGCTCTTGCCAGGATCTCACCCAAAACCAGTCCTAGAAGATTCAGGGTTTCCCTTCTTTAAAAGTCTATTTTCAGCAAATGAATAACCTCCAGCACTGCAGATGAGTGCATTTAAGGAAATAATTGAAAGGCTTATTGGCAGAGTTTCAGGACTCCTCTGTGGCTCCATGCAACAGCTTGTGATTTTACAGCTAGGCTGAGGAAGATGTACCCTGCAGGCTTGAGAGGCCTTCAAGTCCTGTAACAGCAATAATGAGCCTTGCACTGGGAAAACTGATGGCATTAATCATTTATCTTTCAGGTTTTATCTGTCCCCACCACTACGTTGTGCATATGAAGTTAATATTTCTAGACAGTTCTACAGGGAGTAGAACTCTTCCAGTTTCCTGATAAAGAGGAGATAGATGCCAAAGTGTTCTCTTGGGCTCACTGCAATCCAAGTATCACAGAATCATGGAATTGTTTTGGTCAGAAAAGACCTTCAAGATCATGAAGCCCAACTGATAACCAACACTGTCAGGTCACCACTGCCCCGTGTCCCTCACACCACATCTCCACAGCTTGGAAACCCCTCCAGGGGTGGGGACTCCACCACTGCCCTGGGCAGCCTGGCACAGCCCTGGGCAACCCTCCAGGGCAAGAAATTGTTCCTCAGGGACAACTGAAACCTCCCCTGGGGCAACTTGAGGCTGTTCCCTCTTGTCCTGTCCCTTGTTCCTTGGGAGCAGAGCCCGACCCCCCCCTGGCTGCAGGCTCCTGTCAGGAGCTGTGCAGAGCCAGAAGGTCTCCCCTGAGCCTCCTTTGCTCCAGGCTCAGCACCCCCAGCTCCCTCAGCTGCTCCTCCCCACACTTGGCCTCTAGACCCTTCCCCAGCTTTGTTGCCCTCCTCTGGCCATGCTCCAGCCCCTCAAGGTCCAGGATTCGAGGGGTGACCTCCCTAGTGCTGAGTCCAGGGGGACAATCCCTGCCCTGCTCCTGCTGGCCACACCAGTGCTGATCCAGGCCAGGATGCTGGTGGCCACCTGGGCACACTCTGGCTCATCTTCAGCCAGCTGCCAATCAAACCCCCAAGGTCCTTTTCTGCCAGGCAGTTTCCAGCCCCTCTTCCCCCAGCCTGGAGCATTGCAGGGGGTTGATGTGACTCCAGTGCAGGACCCAGCACTTGGCCCTGTTGAACCTCATGCTGTTGAGGATGAATGCAAGTAGGAAGGAAACAAACTCTCATCCCCATTCCTTCAAACTCACAGAATACCCATTTTGGGGATGCTCATTACAAAGAACTACTGATACTTTTTTCAGAGTTTTCCTTCTCCAGCACCCAGTAAACACAAGTTCTTACACACTCCCCAGCATGCACTTACCCTTAGTTCAACTTCTTTGCCAAGCAGGTCATACAGAGTTGCTCCTGTGGAGGTGATTTCAGAAGCAAGCTGTCTAGCTGCCTTCAGGTCACCAATCTGGAAACACAGCAACAGCACTGAACAAAAAGAGAATCCTCAAGAGCACAAGGAAAATCCACAACAGATTTTTCCCATCTGCATGTTAAAATTGCACAGTGGCCACAACTCTCCTACAGCACTGAAGAAGTTGTCTTCTGGAACTAGAGTGAGGCTGTCTGTTGGCTTTAAGATGTCACTTAGACATAGGTGAAACCCCATCTACTTTAGGCCAACAAAAAAACCCCACAACTCCTCAAAACTGTGACTCAGCTGCTT